AATCCTCTTACATAAGTTGTACCTGTCTATCTGCAGTCTTCTTTTCTCTGCATCCATTCAAAGTGCTGAATTCCTAAAGCTTGTAGAGCTGCCAAAAAAGGGGATATAGAGCTGAAGTTACACTCCGCAGAGCTCAGTAAGGAAAGCTCTGAAAGCTGATTGGGGAGAAGAGACATGCCTCCTCCCTCCCCTCCACACAGCTCACAGGAACAGAGCTGTGGCTGTCAATCTGATGTTGATCCCTCCCCTGTCACCATTTTTCTTTTGGTGTCAGGAAAACTTGCCAGAAGTGATTCATGCAGATAGTAGAGGAACGAAGCAGTAGACAGAAATTATACTTAGAGGTTGATTTACTAAAACTGGAGAGTGCAAAATCTGGTGCAGCTATGCATGGCAGCCAATCAGCTTCTAACTTCAGCTTGTTCAATTAAGCTTTAGCAATAAAACCTGGAAGCTGATTGGTTTCTATGCAGAACTGCACCAGATTTTGCACTCTCCAGTTTTAATAAATAAACACCTTAGTGTTCTTAATTGAGACAAGTACACACTATAGAGGGATTTGCTTTGTTTATATGTAACTTCTGAGGTTTACAACCACTTTAGCCCCTTGCCCTCCAGAGGATTTACCCCCCTTCCTGACCAGGCCATTTTTTGCATTACAGCACTCCATTACTTTAAATGACAATTGTGCGGTCATGCAACTCTGCACCGAAATGAATTTACGTCCTTTTTTCCCACAAATTGAGCTTTCTTTTTGTGGTATTTGATCACCTGTGCGGTTTTTTTTTTTTTGCGCTATAAAAAAAAGACCGACAATTTTGAAAAAAATAACAATATTTTTGACATTTTGCTATTAAACATATCCTGTAAAAAAATTTAAAAAATCAAATTTCGTCATAAATTTACACCAAAATGTATTCTGCTACATGTCTTTGCTAAAAAAAATCCCAATACGTGAAAATTAATTGGTTTACGTGAAAGTTATAGCATTTACAAATGGTGTTTTTTTACTAGTAATGGTGGCAATCAGCGACTTATAGTGGGACTGCGGTGAGCATTCTGACAGTGGGGGGAACTGACTTGGTGTCGCTGACATTTCCAGTGACACCAATACAGTGATCAGTGCTAATTAAATGCACTGACACTGTACTAATGGCACTGGGCAGGAAGGGTTAACATGTAGGGCAATCAAAGGGTTAACTGTGTGCTGTTTTACTAGGGGCTGTGTGTTAGTGCTTCACTGTAATCACACTGCTGTGGATAGCTGTGCACAGCCATCTACAGCAGTGTGCCCGAGCTGACAGGGAGGAGAACTGTTAGTAAACAAAACAGTTCTCCTCCCATGTCGGAGATCTTCGGAAATCACCTGGCGCAGGCGAGTAATTATCAGCCAGGACCCAGTGATTGACAGCAGCGGCCGCGAATGGCAGCGCAGGTAGGGCACGCTTGCACCCCCTACCCGGAAATGCAAAATCACGTGTATATATATATATGTGATTTTGCACACCCATGCTGCCCTGTAGCAGTATTTCTGCTATAGGGTGGTCGGGAAGCTGTTAATATTCTTAAGGTGCTCATCTAGTCGTTTACATGTTTTAAAGAGAATTCACAATCCAGGAGGTAAATTATATTTCTTGCATCACACATGTGCATTTATGTCATTCCAAAGTCCTCCTCTTGCGGATAATGCATTGAACATACTGAGGTTGATTTACTAAAACTGGAGAGTGCAGAGTCTGGTGCAGCTCTGCCTATAATCCAATCAGCTTCCAGGTTTATTGTCAAAGTTGAATTGAACAAGATGAAGATAGAAGCTGATTGGCTACCATGCACAGCTGCACCAGATTCTGAGTGTTCCAGTTTTAGTAAATCCCCCCATTGTGTATTACTTGGTTTTGGGAATTTTATATCTAGATCTTCCAATTTGTTTTTATTAATTCATCTTATCTGAAACACCCTTGTTAACAATTTATTAACATATTTTTGTTAGAATTTAATTATTTTTTTAAGTCATTTCAAATGTGTCTGTATAACTGTACATTCATCTTCAAGTCATGTTTATCTCCATCCATAAGTGCAATCCATTTTCCTTTGACAGTGGGTTTTAAAATGATTGAGTTGTCTGTGTTTAATGTATCTAATGATTCCTATTCTCCCTTGGATAGATTTTAGTATCCTGCCTTTCTGACTTTCACTACTTCTAATGCATCAGTAACTGCTCTTTTAGGAGTATCGATGAAATCCCATTTACATTTGACAGAGTTAATGTGGATTTCCTTCTTAATTCAGTGATGTATTAATGTCTATGGTTGTTTGAAATGTGTAAACCCGGGGATGATACAAATGTAAAGCCTTTCTCCAAAGATTTAGACTCACCATTTTTTCCCCACTTTTTTATAAATGGTCATCTTGGAGCCTGAAACATGCTTTCTTTCTCCTGCCACTTTCCTCTGCAGTTTCTTCAGTCTTATTTACTTCTTGTAGTCTATTTTTTGTATATATATATTTTTAACTGTAGTATTTTTTACCATCCTCTTTCTTTTTTTTACCATCTGCCTCCTTCCCCAGTCCCCCATTCTAAAAAGTGAATTTTCTATTCTCATAGTGTAGATGATCTAGTATCTAGTAGTAGATGTTACATTCTGCTACTCATTGAAAGCCCTGCAATGTTTAACCTAGTCCCCAGGTTATTGATTAGCCTTTGGGGCCACATTCTTCTAAAAATCAGTAATTGTGTATTCCAATGATCCAGTTCATCTCTGGTATGCAGATTTATCAGAAATTTGAGGAATTATTTGTGTGTACTACCTAGAAAACATCATTCTCCTGCCTCTTATGACTTGGTACCCATCTATGTAATAGCTATTATACTCAGTTTCATTGTTATTAGTCTTAACACAACCTTGGTTTTGCTTTGAATTCTGCTGGTTTGAAATTTGTGTTCCTCATGAATTCTTCTCTGAATTTGCCATGAACAGGGGTGGACTGACAACTCATGGGGCCCCCGGGTAATAGGAGATCATGGGGCCCCTGTGTCCTCGCCCACACCCAAAAAAGCCTATGAAAAAGCCAATGAAAGGTACCAGGGGCATCTCATGGGGCCCCCTACTGACCCCGGGCCCTTGAGCAGTGCCCGAGTGCTCGAATGGTCAGTCCGCCCCTGGCCATGAAAATATTTTTTAAACCAGAATGCTCTGCAGTTGAAGCATATGTAAATCAAAAAATATTTTTATATGGTCTGCACACAGAAGAGAAGCATTAAAGTGTTACTAAACCCACAACAGTAAAATCAGTCTGTATATGCAGTAAAGCTTGCTTGTTATACGCACTGTGGAACCTAAGTAGTTAATCCTCTGCATTGTGTAAAAAGGATGTTTGATCCTGTCTTCTCTGATCCTCCCCTTCTACTATCCCCGATCTCCTGATAGAACAGAGCCTAGTGGGCAAGCTACACTTGCTCAGTTTGGTGTGTATTGCTAGAGAGTTTTTTGTTTTTTTTTTTAGGAGAGTGCATGTGATTGGCAAATGACCAATCAGCACTGTCCAGACAGAGGGTCAGGGGTCCTGCAATCTCATAGGACAGTGAGTGGATAATTAAAACTCCTCCTACAAGTTTTAACCAGTGCTCTGCTGGACACTGATAGAAGTCACAAGACTGCTCTAACTGCTGATGAGAAAATATATTTAGTAGTTTATATTTACTAAAATAATTGCATTTCCATGTTCTGTGTACTGTGGGGAACAGGATATAGTGAATGCAGGGTCCGGGGTTTAGTACCACTTTAAAACCCCTTTCAGTTTATTTTTGCTGTGGTCCATAGCTAAGACTTCCATTTACTACTGGCCCCAGAAAGGCAGCAGAAAGTAAGGGGACATTTCTTAGGCATTTGTCATCATAGCAAGTGTCCATATTTGAGGATATTACCATACCCCACCTCAAACTCTGGTGTCAACTCTACAATGTTGGATTCCCCCTCAATCTCTGTCTTAGTGACAATGTCTTCCAGGACAAATAGAGAGAATATAGAAAAACTTGTTGAGTTTCTAAACATATTTTACTTTGTCAAAAATGAAAAAATAGTTTGTATTTGGATACACTTTCAGTTAGCTATTTGGAACAAATCTTAAAAGAGGTGTGTGTGCCAACTGGGCAGCACAGTGGCTATGTGGTTAGCACTTACGCCTAGCAGCACTAGGGTCAATGGCTCAAATCCCAACAAAGTTTGCTTGTTCTCCCTGTGCCTGCATGGGTTTCCACCCTCACTCCAAAGACATAAAATGTATCTACTGTGTTTTTTCTGTTGCAAAAGAGATGAGCATTTTTTCTCTTGTTGCAGGAGACTTCCATCAATAATGCTTTTATTATGGAAATCAAGTAGTATTATTTCCCTATGATCCTTGATGCAATGCTGGAAAGTGAACCATACTCTGCAATTTTGATAGATACTTCACAAAGGATGCCAACATATGCCTTTTTACTAAATGCTGGATTTGTTTCACATTATGAACAATGGAAGAGAGAAAAATTCATACATTCAGGAGGACGTTTACAACCACCTGGTGTTGCTGTTTAACCACTTCCAGTCCGGACACTTTTACCCCCTTCCTGTCCAGGCCAATTTTCAGCTTTCAGTGCTATCACACTTTAAATGACAATTGCGCAGTCATGCAACTGTACCCATATGAATTTTTTAGACTGATAAAACTATATTTTGGTGGTATTTATTCACCACTGGGATTTTGATTTATTGTTTGCTATATAAATGAAAACGTTTTGAAAAAAAGTGTTTTTCTTATAAAAATTTTGCAAATAAATAATCTTTCTTCATAAATCTTGGCCAAAATGTATTCAGTTATCTTTTTAGTAAATAAAAAAATAACCCAAATTAGTTTATAACCAAAAATTATAATATTTCAATATTTTTTTTACATAAAGGCTGTAAAAGCAATCATTTATCCTTCTGTCTGGCTGCATTCTTGCAGCCACTGAGAAATACTGTGTGAGCTGTGATTGGTCACAGCTTGTCACATGGTACAAGGCTGTTGTAAATAGCCTTGTACCATGTGACCTCTGTGATCATTCACAGATTTCACTAGTAGTAAGCAATGATGTCAGAAGTGACATCTTGCTTTCTACTATTGATGTGATCACTGATTGACCAATCAGTGATCACATGATCGGGACCTCGCAGCGGATCGCGATGCTGCTCACTCCTAGGGAGCTCGCACAAGCAGGGAAGTGGTAGGACGTTTATAAACGGCCACCCGCCCCTGCACTGCTCCCGTCCGGCCGTTTATGTACATGGGCCGGACGGAAAGTGGTTAAAAACAAAAAGCAGGATACCATAGTCCCTCTTTAATATTTACATTTAAAGTGGTACATAAAGGAACCCAAATGAAGTATTCTAGTCCCATGTCTGTATGTTTGTGTGTTTATATCGAGGTTTAAATGTTTAACCCTGTTAAGGATCCTATCCCACTGCCCTTTCCACTTCACTAGTTGCACGTCTCTGTTGGGAACCATTGCTATGAAGAAGCCCAAGGTCTATCATTATTGGATTGGTGTTTGGAACGGAGGCTGCAAATGTATCTGATACCACAGCACATTACTGTTTACCCCATGATTATAACCACGTTGTATCTGAGGATTCAATAGATGTACATAGTTCTGGTCATACATGAGGACATTTGTTGATTTACAAGTGATCACACATTGGCAAATCCTGTTTCTTCATCACAAGCACATTCATTGTTCACTACTACATATTGGGCAAGTTTCTATTAGTTTCCAGCAGCATCTTGTTACATTTTCTATAAATGTAAATAATATAAGTAAATTGGTAAGAAACATAGCAGGTGGTCATGCACAATTCCAGTCCTCTAGCTAAGGAGAAACCAAACCATGTGCCTGGGCCAAGCTGGTAAAGTTTGATGGGAATAATAAAAGACTAGATAAAAAAATGTGGATCCAAATCTTTTAGAACAGATTACAGATAAAGATAAAGCAGAATTGAGGCACAGTAGATTTTTAACATTTGCTTTTCTCTTGAGAGGGCACTGGAATTGTTATTCAAAGGACAGAAACTACTGGGAATGGTTTAAAGCTGAACTTGACCATTAACATTTTTTTAGTTGTCATTTTTTTAATTAAAGGATAAGTTCATCTTTCGTAACATGTGTAACTTGTAACACGATACGTACGGAACAGCCCTGGCAGTTCATTGATTCTTCCCGTCAGTATATCTGCTTGCTCGTACATCCCGTACTGTCAAGCAGATATACTGATAGGTCTGCAGGAGACCTGCATCACACCAGCGATTTGCTGGTGCAATGCTTTAGAGGCTCCAGAAACGAAAAATAATAAATGCACACTTTTATACCTGTGCATTTATTATTTTTTTTGTAAAAAGGTGTACTTATCCTTTGAACATTTAGTGCTGGTTCACATATATGCAGATTGGATGCGGTTTGAACCACATTAAATCCGCATTACATGTGAAATAACATTGCTTCCTGTTCACATATGTACTGCACTGGCAGTGCAGATTCAGGTGTCCATTTATGAACCAGCGGTAATAGATCGCTGCTCAGTTCTCCGTTCTCCGGCATTCTCGGAGAACACAGTTCTCCTGTGAATGCAGTTTATGAAGCAGTTCTCCGAACGAAGAGAGAAACGGTCTCTAAACGCTGGAGAACGGTCTACAAACTCTGAAAAAAAACTGCTCATTTTACTATAATCTCGCGAGATTACAGTAAAAGATCAGTTTACTAAGCAGAGGTAAATTATCTCTGCTTAGTTTTCGGTCCCTCTGATTCTCCAGCTCTGGGCTGGAGAATCTGGAGGGAGAACACAGATCTCCAGAGAAGGGCTGACATGATCTCCTGAGTGTCATAAACTGTGAATGACCAGAGAATAGCTGAGATCTGTTGAATCGCAGCTATTCTCTGTGTCATAAAAGGACACCTCAGTGCGGAGTGAGTCCTGTCTGATTTCTGAGCAGTGCCGTCAGGTTCATGTGCCCATTATAGGCTAATGACTTCTATGGGAACGTTTCTAAACTGCACATTTGTGAACATGATAAAATCCTGACCTGATCCTGTCCTGAACCAGATGTAAAGCTGACCTGAACCAGTGAACAACTACCTTGCCAATTAGCTGTGAAACCTAAGCTTCAATCCGCACCGCACATGTGTGAATCAGTTCTTAAGGTTTCCATAACATCCATTCCCTAAAAATTAGATACCTATATTGCAAAAAGTAAAGGAAGTTTTTATTATTAAAATTGCAGTCAAGTAATTATTAGCATGTCATTCCACTCTGATTTGGTCTAGTTTAAGAAGTTTTTCCTTACTGTACCTATGTCACACATTGAAGATAAAGGTGTCTTTGTGTAGACTTCATCTCTCATGATGCCTTGGAACATTGTGGGCAGCTCCTGGGTTGTGTTTGTGGAAAATACTTTAGATATTTTTTTTGCTGCAGTACTGCCTACCACACACGATCAGAAAATCAGATGAAAAATACTGCTTTCAAAGCAATTGTACGATTATTTGATGGTTAGTACTCAGCTTTCGAGAGCTGATCGCGACAAAGCATGCAAAATTATCAGAAAGGGCAAACACAAAAAAATATTTCTCGTATGTTACCGGAATTAACGTTTTTTGTTTAATCAGTACAGAATTCGTCCGAAAAAAAGATTGCCCATGCTCAGAAACAAAAGAATACATTACATAACAATATGATATATTACATCACTTCCGAAGTTGTGTTCTGTCGTAAGAAATTTTTTGAATTTTTAGTAACCTCTTCATTTTCGAGACTAGCATGCAAAAAAAAAAAGGACGATCATTTGTCCAATATTCTCATTGTGTACTGGGCTTTTGCCTCTCGTCATTCACTCACAGAAGAGTAGCTGCAGTGACTGGTCACCAGAAATAGAAGAAAAAGTTTGGAAAGAATTTCTAAAGTATTTTTTATCATGGAGCATTAAATCCATGTTAACATCAATCATGGCACACCTGTTTTTTTTTTATCTTTCAGTTTTCTATTTTACGTATGTGCTCGGAGATCAGATTGAATATTCTCTATAAAGTGCTGAGAAATGTATGGGTTTCATAATAGCTTACAAAACTATATACAGTACAATACTGATTTTAAAAGCCTATCTTGCTTCAGCCATCAACTTAGTTAAAGGTTGGGTGTGTTTGTTTGAAGAATTCCATGTTTAAAACCCCTTGTGGAAGCTGCTGAATGAAGTATTGACAAGTGCTAATGGGCAGAGTCAACTTAAATGAATATTTACTATATGGGTGTGTGAGCAAATAAGTTGCACCTGTGTGCAGGCATACAATATAAAGTAAATTCTCCTGGAGCTTTCCTTTAACAGCAGTCAACACATTGAACAGAATGAATAATTGTAACAGGCTACTAAACTTTGGCAATATTCTGCTGAATACATTCATGTTTCCATAATCTATTGCACATTTTTCATTCTTTACTTGACGTTTTTCTTGTTCTTGGTCAGAGATTTTTATCCTTTTACCTTCAATTGAATATTTTGTCACCATGGTTGTCTTTTATTGATCTCACCAGGAAGCGCATAAGTAGGTTTTTAGCACCAAAACAGGTTTAATTACCATGACAATGATGTTACATTTAATAAATCAAATAAATTCCAGATTATAAAACCCCCTTATTCTGAATGTTGATTTACTCTGGTTCTATTTATGTTTTTAGCATTCAGTATATATCATGCATAAGCTATGGTTGTGCCTAACATATGTACTATGTGACACACACTGTCCCCAGTTCAGGGGCTGATTTGAATTCCTACTCGTTACTTTAGAATTTGGTTACATTTGCAAGTGCTGCAACCCATCCTCCTTCGCTATGGATACCTGCCGCAAAGCAAGAATGTGATTCCAGCCCTAATGTTATTCTCTCACCAGCTCATATTTTGTATCTTTGAAAGATATGAATAAGAGTTTTCTTTGCATTATATCAAAATGAACAGTAACTTCTTGTTGTATTTTTAGGGCTTATTTTCTCAGAAAATATGTGCAGAAACCCAACCACAACCCCCCCCCCCACACACCCCCTCCAAACCGCATCAAATAGTGGGTCTGACCAAATTTCACTAATATTGGGAAGGTCATTGGGTAAAGCAGCATTAAATACCAGGAGTGCATTACATACAGAGTGAAGAGTTTGGGGGGTGGGTTACACACAGAGTGTAAAGTTCACGGGTGCACTATGAACATAGTGCAGAGATCAGGGGTGCACTACACACAAAGTGCAGGGTTCAGCCTTCTTCCACAGCTACTTACCTCTGCATCCCCCATCCACATCTCACTTTTACTTCTCTTCAGCTCCGACCTCTGCCTGCACCCCCCTCATCTTCTCCCCCCCCCCCCCTTAAAAGCTCCACCATCTTCCACAAATCTTACTTGTTGCTGTATTAAGATGAAGCACCCTGCCGGCTCTAGTACCTCTACACACACTGTAGGTGGCTCCGCCTCTCTCATTTGCAGAAATAATCCAGTCGGGGTGTCAGCATCTGCACTGCATCCCAAGCACCTGCATCTCCCTTGTCCCCATCCTGCACTCAGTGGAAGCCACTCAGGAGATCAGATCTGTGGGAGCCGTTGGGAGAAAAGCTGTCACTTGTAAACACAGAAGCCGAACTTCTGTATTTACAAATGATATTGGTGAGCAGGGAGCAGAGGGCCTGAGCCAGAGGTAGTGAAACTGAGTTCCAACAAGTTCCAGCTGAATAAAATCCCTGTGTATTTTTATAATAATTGTGTTAGTCATAAATATCATTAACACTGTTTAGGTTTAAATCAAATCCAAAAATTACAATTTGTTTTATAATAGTAATAAATACATACTATGCCCCCCAAAACAGTACAACATTTAAATCAAAACCATTTTCTTGGAAAAAAATATTCATGCTGCTGAATACATTGATTGCAATAGGTTTTTTCTCTCTGCCACAGACCAATATTACATTCAAAATGTCTTTTGGTTACATAGCAAAAGCTTTAAGTAATTTTTTTTTTTAAATACAGCAGATTTCAGAAAGCTATATACATAAATACATTAATCACAGAATGCTATGAATCAGATTTTGACCTGTCCAATGATTTGATGAATGACAGGAAAACATTTGCCTCTCATCAAGATCTTTAACAATACCCTTCATTTTTATGGCAAGGATACATGTTGTTTGTTCAACTTTC